TTATTATTATTATTATTACTATTATTATTATTGTTATTATCATTATTCTCAGATTGAGAGCGCCCGGATTTGGCGCATTCAGTTTATTCTCACGGGAAAACCCTCCTAACTGGGTAATTTCGTTCTAGTAGGTGCTGCTTTCTGTTGGTCAAAATGACCCCTCTTTTTTCGGATTTTCCCTGCTCGCGTGATTTTAGGCTGTTTTAGCAAAACTTTAGCCTTCACAGCGCCCTGAGTACCGTGAAAACTTTAGCAGAAAATTTGTCTCGTGAACTACAGGAGCTAGGAATGCCCACGTGCAACTCCGCAAATTTTCAACGTCCTTATGGAAGTTTTGACGAGAAAAATCATCATCTCGGGATCCAGAAGAGTTAGGAGGCTGAAAATTTCAGATGAATGTTTCCTGCCTAAGCCGGGGCTTTGCATACTCGAATTCATTTCCTAAGTATGTCAAGGTTTCACGTACGACCGTATTAAAGTTTTATTTCAAAGATCATTCGGAAGCCAGAAAATTAGGAGATTAAAATTTTAGAAGGATATTCACCCATCGAGGTTTCAAATTCAGCTTCCATTTGCCAATGCGTGAAATTTTTAACTATTTTTCAACGATTCGACTATTTTGCGCAAACTAAAGCAAAAAGCAGTGAAAATCATTAACAGGTAGTGGACGGAACTGCACAAAACGCATGATCGCACAGGCTAGGCTGGTGTGCGTTGCTGTTTATTTGTTTCTCGAACAATGCAGTTGATAACCGTTTGAGTTGCTTTGACCAGTGCTGCAGCTCCACATGGACAACCGGCGTCTATCCTAACTTTTGCTTCGTCTTCTAAAGGAGCTGCGAGTTTAGCAGTTCTCATTACAGGCATAGGCGGATCTAGAACGGACTCCTGGGAGGAGGCGGGGGAGAGGCAGCTGAGGTTGAGGGAGAGTGGACTTCTCAAGGGGAAGGGGCGAGAGGGTGGAGAGAAGAGTCCTTTTCACCCTGGAACTACGCAGTGACTAGGAATACAGTTGCATTTTACTTTGGACCTATTTACTCACTTTAGTTTAAGACGTTTTAGTTTGGAGTTACTGTCGCAACCTTAAGTGTTAATATCTTAGCCTAGTCTTATGCCCTGTGTGTAAGTGTGCGTACGACGTCACGTCCTATATACATAATAATACATAGTAAGTTAAAGAGATAATGCATACAAAGGTGGTGAGCACTTCTCCCCATCGCCTGGATCGCCACTACCAATCCACCACTGCGACCTATTTTAATTTAACTTATACTCCTATTCTGGGGAGCTTCGGCTATCAACGGTTATCAGCTGCATTGTAAATTAAAATAGGTCGCAGTAGTGGATGGGTAGTGGCGATCCCGGCGATGGGGAGAAGTGCTTTTATGCCCCAGGGGACAAAAATCGAAAGTTCAATGAGGTTAGGGTGGTCAAAGTTTGAACCAGGGGCAGGGGTATTGCGTCATAGTAAAGCAGTTGTTCTGTAGCTTACTTTTAACAAAAAGCATTAATCATTATTTGGCCTATTATACGACGTTGCTTACTTAAACCTAGTAAGTAAGTAAGTTACAACTGTATTGCTAGTTTGGACTTACTTTAGTTTAGGGTAAGTAGGTAAATATGTAAGTCTTAACTAGCAATATAGTTGTATCCATCTATGACTATAGGTGCATTTAATAAAACTTTATCGTTTTCGGTACAGTCTTGGTGTGTGTTGCGCCACAGCACTACTGTTATTTCTAGGATGCGATTCGGTACCTTATCGAGTATGAGGGTAAAAAATTGGTCCATTTTTTATTACATCTAAAATAGATCAGTGTTATTGCTGCAGGAGCAGATAGATATGGCAATCCTTATACATCGGGTACTGTTGGCTCGCAGTATGACTATGTGCACGACGAGGAAGATGCAACGTTCCAGCTTGTGGACACCAGTAAGCCACAACGTTCAAACATGCAAAAAGGTGGACGGATGCGTCAACAGCAACAATTCTATGTATGTATCGTTTTAGTATTGTTTTTGAAATTCTTAGCTCATTTTTTTTTTTTTTTTGGTTCGTCGCAAGTTTTTTCATCTTTTCGACCAGAAAACTTTCCTATCGTCTATGATCTCGTGCAGGTAGCTTTCGCACCAATCCACGTTCAAATTAGTGGGCCAAACCAACGTATCGTTGTGATATTTCTTGCTGTTTTTAGCATGTTTTGTTATGGTGCGACTGTTCTGTTCCTGATAAATGCTAGTCGTTAATTATGTGTTGCAGTCTGGCAACATTTGATATTCGTCCTGCCCATATGTGGATCCAGGACGGACTCCTACA